AGCGTCACTCCCACAGTGCCCCGCGCCATGGGGCCGCCGCAGCCCAGCCCGGCCCGGCCCGGCGGAACGGGGTGAGTGCGGCCCGGGGGCGCTCCCCTCATATCGGGGGAGCTGATTACCTCATGGGGGGGTACTCCCCTTATATGGGGAGTATGCTTACCTCATATGGGGGGGGGGCTGGTCACTTCATATGGGGGGCGCTCCCCTCATATCGGGGGGTGGCCACCACCCTCATATTGGGGGGGCTGATTACCTCATGGGGGGTACTCCCCTAATATGGGGGGTATGCTTACCTCATATGGGGGGCACTCCCCTCATAGTGGGGGGCTGGTCACTTCATATGGGGGGGACGCCTGGCCACCTCGTGGTGGGGGGACAGCTCCTCCGTGGGAGCAGGCCCAGGCAGTCGTGCTCGTTGCCCTCCTGGCAGGTGGGGATGGGCAGCCCCTGTGCCTGGGAGCCAGGCAGAGGGGGTTGCAGGCAGAGGAGATCCATCTTCTCTCCCCCCCCTCCAGCCCCCTGCTCCAGGCAGGAGCTGCTCTGGCTCCCCAGGAGTACAACACGGTAGATGGGGCCCAGCCCTATGTACACAGGGCGGGTGGCTCCACGGTGCCTGGCAGGAGGAAGGTGGGAGGGCCATCTCGCCGGCAGACAGGAGCAGGGCAACAATTTGAACGCTTGGCTCCTGCAGATATGCAGACCGCTGAGGGGTTGAGGCGTTTTGGGAAAAGGGCAACTTCTCTGTCCAGAACCAGTTTGCTAAATCCACTTAATTACTAAGCATTGTGAACTTTCGTGGGGAGACAGTCCAGGGAGGGTCCTAATCCTACAGTTTCTGCTGCATTGAAGTTTCTGTTTGAAAGAAAAGCTTGTGGGCTCTTCCAGCCCAAATTGACTGAAGCGGCAGCATCTGCAAGCACGCAGGGAGATTGCTCCGTGCTCCCTCCTCGCTCGTAGCTGCGCAGAACCGTGGCTCTGATCTGAGTGCATCGCTTGAGAGGAAGGTGCAACCATCAGCCAGAGGGAAACTGTTTGCTAATGCTTCGTAGCAAGTGCTTGGCTCACCCTGCGGAGGGGAAGGTTGACTTTCTTTCTTAGAGAAAAGGAAGAAGGAAAAAAAAAGTTTCAGTTACTCCTTCCCTGCAGGCAGCTTTGAAACGGACAAGGATGTCAGTGCCGCTGTGCCGGGCAGGAAAGCTGCAGCCATGGCTAGCCCAGTTAAAAGGGAAGGAAACAAATACCCTGGGAAGAGATAGTAGCAGAAATGCTCCCTGCACACACAGATGGCTCTGGGTTGAGAGAGACACTTCTCCTTTTCAGCAGCCAGATGACAGGGAAGGCAGATCCCCATAGTTGTGAGACATCTGCAAGCCACCGGCTGCTACAAAGTGCAGCACTCCTAAGCACCAGGAGGAGGATGGAGGGCACCAGCCATTTCTGCTGTCCTTCTCAGACAGAGCATGTCACTGCATCCCATCTCTGTTGTCCTCTGGGCAGTCAGGGTCTGGTAATATTTAAGCTGAATGAAAGTGAACTCTCTTTCTTGGTGCAGTTGCCTACACTCTTCCCCATGTCCTAGTGTTTTCAATCCTGCCTGAAGGTGCCATGGTGTGATCCTGTAGCTAGGGCCCATTGTGGTCTCCCCTGTTTATAGCCTTCAGGGGTGTAGTCTGCCTTCACAGAGGGACTGCTCCATGGCACATCCTGCCCACATCTGGTGCTCCTGTTGGCTTGTGGGGAGGAAGTTCCTCCCTCAGAGGCCGCCGTGAAGAACGGGTTAGATGCTATTTTAAGAAGAGTTTCTCAGGCTGCTGAATTGAAAGGAGGGGTGGAGGGTATTCACTCAGCTGTGGGTTTTTGTTTTCTGGTAAGAACAAGCTTTCAAATTAACCCCTTCCCAGGCACGAGAGTGTAGAGAGAAGTCTAGGAAAGACAGTCACACAAAAAGATGGGATGGGTAGGAGTCATGTAAGAAGCCATCTAGCAGAGCTGTAGGGAGAGCAGAGATTGATGCAAGTTTTTACTGTGTAATGGAAATGGCCCCCCAAGAAGCCAGAATATCCACAGATTCAAGGGATACTGCAAGAGGAGGTGTTTACCAAGGAGTGAACGTTCAGAGAACCTGTGTTGGTGGCCAAAGTCACTAGGGCTTATCCATGACCACAAGCCAACTGGTAGCCATCCCACTGAGACAGGAGAGAGAACATCCAAAGACCACTAGGGAAATGTTAAATGGGAAGCATACATTAGCCTCCCACAATTGTCCCTGTGACACGCTTGGAGAAATTCTGTCCTGAGAGTCAATTGCTGCTCCCCACACTGTATGCAAACCCAGGAGCCCCTCCATGCCCTGTGCTATAGGGTCAGGCTCCCTCTGCTTTGCTTTCTGTGTGGCACACAGTGACCTGGCTTCAACAAGATGGTGACAGTGTTCTTGGCCCAACTTATCCAATAGCCTGCTAGTTAGGGCATTCTTGGTTTGAGTCACGTCAGGCTGAGGGGGCCTAAAACTCAGGTAGTCTCCTGTCAGTAACTTTCCTAAAGAAGGTGAGAAGCCCTGCCTACAGTCATGGCTTAGAACAGTGTTTTTTAACCTGTGGTCCACAGACCCCTGCAGGTCCACAGACTATGCCTGGAGGGGTCTGCAAAAGATGACTGTGGTCAATCAAAAGTGTGTGAATACCCACCCTTACAATTCAAAGGGGTGTGCACCTCCATTTTAAATTTTCAAAGGGGTCCACACCTCCATTGGAAACTTTTTTTAGAGGGGTCTGCAAATGAAAAAGGTTGAAAACCACTGGTTTAGAAGACAACAGTAAGCCAGTTGCCTTAAATGAAGAGATCACTTTAGACCAGGGGCAGGCAACATTTTTTGGCCGGAGTGCCGAAAAAACCACAGTATCTACCTTGGAAGGTGCTGGAGTACTGACATGCTGTAACCCAGAGCAGCTGTTTGCAGCCTCCCAGCTGCAGCTGGCCCACAGAGCCCAATTTGCTTGCAGCAGGGTTTTCAGCCTCCCAGCTGCCTGCTGGGAGCAGCCTGGGCTCTTTGGCTGGCAGCAACTGCTTAGAGTCTTGGCTGGCGGTGGTGTGCCGAACAAAATGGCCTTGCTTGCCGTGCTCAGCATGTATGCCGGGGGGTTGCTGACCCCTGCTTTAGACCATGGTGCCAGGCAAGAGGTTCAGGCTATAAGTTCCAGTCTCAGATAGGAACTTAACTCAGGGCTGCAGTTCAGGAAGAGAGATGATTTGAGATGTACCCTGTGCTTTTCAGCATTTCCTGTTGGCTTGTGGAGATGTTTCCAGACTCATTGTGTTGAGCATGTTGAATCTCCAAGTCTAGGGACTGTTGGTACTTAACTTAGCTCTGAAAATGGAATTCACAGAGACAGTCTTGTAACTCAGCTACAGGAACACTGTGTTGCTCACCTAAGATCCTTTGTGAAGCTTGCCTGTAGCCTTGTTCACCCAAGAACATGAGGAACTTGGGATTGTGGCCAGCCATGCAAGAAGTCCACAGGCAAGTAATGAGCAATAACCAGAAGGGCAGATGAGGAAATACAGAGAGTGGGACTTGGATGAGGAGGTGAGGTGGGTAGGATGGTAGTCCAAGGACACAGCTGAGGAAAGCGTGAGCACACAACTGCACCCATGTAGCTAAGCAGCATGTTCAAAGGAGGATGCAGCAGCTGACACTGGCTCTCAGTAATTTAAGACAATGTGATGATCAGATATGTTTTTTTTCTTGGAATATTCCATCTCTAATTGAATCACAGTCATATTAATTCAGGGAGAAAGAACTGATAGGAGGGGGATGTGGGACTCTACATGCAAAGAAGAACTTCATGTGTCCATTCAGCACAGCACATAATGAACTGTTCTGCTAAGAATGCCCCAGCTTGTTACCCTGCTGTTTATTCATTGGGTAGCAGGATTACTCGCAAACCCTGTACTCTCAGATCAATCTGGTGTGCCAAGCAACAGGGGATGGCACTTATTAAGAGCAAATTGTTATCAGAAAGAAATGCTAGAGGAAGAAGGAGTTTCTCGTGGGTCTGTGGATATATGTACATGCATAAGTGTCTTCACACAGTTACTGCTTATAGCAGGCATGTGTGTTACTGTGCCCAGGTAGAGCAGTGCAGCGCCCTAACTCCAAGTGTCCTGCCATTTCAGATGAAGGTGTCTCTTTGTTGAAGCCATCCCACTGCAAAAAAACAAAAACAAAAACAAAAAAACTTCCAGCTGATGATTGTGCCAGGGCAGCACCACAGCAGGACACCCGCGGGCCCAGGTTCCACTTAACATGGCTTTGCTCTACTAGGCCTGCCATGACGGCATTTTTTCCCAATGTCCCTAACTGGATTCAAGATGCAAAGCAGGAGGAGGAGGAGACAGGCTGGAAATTAGTCCCTCGGCAAAGAGGTCAAGAGGCCGAAAGTCAGGGGAAATGCCAGTGTGAACTTTCCGAGAGCTCCTTCCCCAGCGTGGACAAGCTGAGAACTCACACAGAGCAGAGACCCTACAATTGCCCTCAGCTGCACTGTGGAAAGGCCTTTGCATCCAAGTACAAACTCTACAGGTAGGTAACTACAGAGTGCCTCCTACGAACAGCCCCTCTCCCCCCTGTGGGAAACAAAGGGGAAACCCAGCCGCAGTGGTTTTTGACAGGTTTGCTGCCAAAAGGCAAAACCATTTTTACCTTGCAAAGCTGATGAGTCCTACGTGTTACAAGCCCTTGCATTTCTTTCAGCCCCTTCCATGGGAGGAGCTCCGATTGCTCTTACTTTAGCCTTAGGGAAACCCAAGCACAGAAGTTAAGCTCACAAAGCGAAACAGTAGTAGAGCCAGGAATAGCACTCAGAACCTACTTCTGTAATTTAATCACAAGCCAGGCACTCAATAGTCAGGCAGAAGGAACCAGACCTTCCATTTTGGGCTGGAAGAATTGAATTTGCTAACTAAGTCCATTAGAATGACAGGGGTGGGTGGATGGAACACAATTGGAAAAAGGTAAAAGAAGCTCATCTAAAAGCTTCATATTAGGATTTAGTCCCGGTTTGGAACAACAAGTTACCACAATCTAGTGCGTTTCTTTAAAAGCCAGTGGTTTCTCCCTGGGGGATGTATGTCAAACAGTCCCAAAGCTGTCTTCAGCTGCTCGTTCCTATTAGCATCCTGGGTCGAGCGCTCTAACTTTTCCCATTTTGCTTTCTTCACCAAAGGCACATGGCCACGCACTCTGCCCAGAAGCCCCACCAGTGCATGTATTGTGAGAAAATGTTCCATCGGAAGGACCACCTCCGCAATCACCTGCAGACACATGACCCCAACAAGGAAGCCCTCCACTGCCCAGAGTGCGGGAAGAACTACAACACCAAGCTTGGCTTCAGGCGACACCTGGCCATGCACGCAGCTGCCAGTGGCGATCTCAGCTGTAAAGTGTGCCTACAGACCTTTGAGAGCACTCAGGTCCTGCTGGAACACCTCAAGGCTCATTCCCGGAGGGCATCTGGTGGAGCAAAGGAGAAGAAGCACCCCTGTGACCACTGTGACAGGCGCTTCTACACCCGCAAAGATGTGCGAAGACACCTCGTGGTGCACACGGGGCGGAAGGACTTCTTGTGCCAGTACTGTGCCCAGAGGTTTGGGCGGAAAGACCACCTGACCAGGCACATGAAGAAGAGCCACTCCCAAGAACTGCTGAAGATCAAGACGGAGCCAGTGGACATGCTGGGTCTCCTGAGCTGCAGCTCAGCTGTGGCAATAAAAGAAGAGCTGAGTCCAGTTTTATGTATGGCATCCAGAGACATGATGAGTGGTAAGAGCTTCCCTAGCATGCTGCCCATGGGCATGTACAGTACACACCTCCAAGCCATGCCCAGCTCAGGGATGCCCCATTCTTTGGTTCCCAACTCTCTTCCAATGGGGATGAGCTATCCTCTTGAATCTTCTTCACCTATTTCCTCCCCACCACAGCCTCCTCCAAAATATCAGCTTGGATCTACCTCATACTTGCCTGAGAAACTACCCAAAGCAGAGGTGGACACCTTTCTGTCAGAGCTCCCTGGCAGTCTGTCGGTCTCATCTGGAGAGCCTCAGTCCTCCTCACCTCAGCCAGCCACTCTGGATGAAGCTCTGCTTTCCAAGAGCCCAGCTAACCTTTCAGAGGCTCTCTGTGCTGCTAACATGGACTTTTCTCATCTTCTGGGCTTCCTCCCTCTAAACCTTCCTCCTTGCAACCCACCTGCATCATCAGGCGGGCTGGTCATGGGCTACTCACAGGGGGAGACCCAGCCACTGCTTACCACTTTGCAACATCAACCTCAAGAATCTTCAGGAGCTGGGGGCCCCCTGAACTTTGGCCCCCTTCATTCGTTACCCCCTGTTTTCACCTCCAGCCTGAGCACAACCACCCTGCCGCGTTTTCACCAGGCGTTCCAGTAAGACGAGAGGAGCACTGATGAACAGGTCTTCCCATAACACGTAGTTGGATTGCCTTAAAAACGCACAACTCCTGTATCTTCCCATGAGGGCAAAGGAAGCTTTTCAGAGCCGTTTCAGACAGGAGGATTCTGGTCTCCGTAGGGAGCGTCTGTCGACTGGAACAGCAAATACCTTAGTGCATGTCCCAGTCCTGGACAGTGAAACGATTTCACCTAACAGACTTGGGGATTTTTCCCTCATTTTTAATCTGTGAATCAGGAGCCACACTTAGCACTGGCCTTCCCCGAGATTTGGGAGCTTTGTTCCTCTTTGGGAAGGGACTGAAACAAAGGAGGAGTTGGGGCTATTTTGTCTTGGGTAGGCTCAGGCTAAGCTTTCCAAGAGTCCAGCATCCATTTCATGTTATCACACTGCAGTTCTGGCATAACTGTCAGGATTCAGAGGTGGAGCAGGCCAACGGCTGACCCACTTCAGCAGACGGGAAGAGGCTACCCTTCCCCACTACCTCCATCCTATCACCTTCACCGCTTACTCCACTTTGCAGCAGTGTTTATGAGCAAGAAAACAGTTTACACGATGAATTGAGACACATCACCTTGTTTCCTTTGCAGAGCTGTTAGACTAGTTTTATTCCAGTGAACTTTGTTTACGCAACACGTATCGGTTTCCATCATTACAGCAGTAGGCACTAGCAAACCTAGGTTTGTATGTGGTGCAGCTAGAACACTGTTTACATGAGAAAGTCAGGTTGCACTGATTTCTCTTCACTTGTCACATTTTTCCCCTATGGGGAAATAAACTGACTTTGGACTACTTCAGGCGGTGCCATTATACATGGCAGCTTATTGCATGTTCTCTGACTATGCATAGGAGTCAGTAGGATGGAGCAGCTTACACACCTCAGCTCAGTTTTGTGCTGAACAAACAGAGCCCTTTAAAAGAAAGAAAAACAGGCCCATCATTCACATCCCAGATCTATGTTGAGAACCAAAGTACGTGAAAAAGCAAGGTTGACAGCCTGTGGTCCACAGCACCAGATGCTGTCATAGAGGGGAGCCATCTGTGCGCCTCTGCTCTAGGGGTTAGCCAAGGAGATGAAGGATGAGGTGTGAGGCAACATCTTTTTCTGGCTGACACCTAAAGCAGTCTCAAGCAGTGACAGTTATTGGCTTCCCTAGTGGAGCAATGGCATCCGGGAGTCAGGAGAAAAGAAAACTGGTTCCAGTGGTGTTAACACTTGGTTGCTATCTTGACCTGTTTCCTCCAACACTAATAGTCTGAACAGGTAGCTAAGGTTCTGGGGCTACAGCCTCCCTTCCTCTCCTCCAGCCTGGAGTAATGGGCCTTTTCTGTTCCTTCTTTCTCCAACCATACCTCCAGAACGGGGTCCACTTCTCTTGCAGCCCTGCTGATAGCAGAAGGGTTAAACAGAAGGCAGTAGACTCCCAATGCCATTAATGATACATCTCCTGTTTACATGTCTGTTCTTATGGGATCGGGCACTCCTATGCAAGCTTAGTAATCCATGACCATAGGCATGTTCAGTCCAGTTACTTTTTAGCTCATATCTGTGGAGGTAAAATGTAGTTCTTCATACCTCAGTATGTAGGAACGTCATAGGCCAATAGAAGCCAGGGAGTCTTGTCTATCAGTATAGATCTTTCAACCCAGGAAGTACAAATCTACCTCTACCATGTTATGTGACTCTACAAATGAAGCCAATCACTGTCTCCACACCTTCCTTCCTTCGCCAAGAACGTATACACCTCCATCAGTTAATGCACATTATTTGTCTTTAGCCATGTGTCTTCTAATCCCCATTTAAGTTACTTCTACTTCATGAGTTCATGGGCACATCCCTTCCTCTGCCTCACTGAAGTATTTATTAAATGGTTTAGTGATTTCTTACCCATTTGGGAATTCATTCATACACAAAGCATCACAGAGAGGTGTTGACATTTTCGCTTAGTCAGTGACACTGTGGATGCTACTTCCATTCACATCCCTGTAAATTTTAAGTCTTATTTACCTCAACAATATCCTGTGGCAATGAATCCCCTGGGTTGAAAGCAGTTCTTTTTATCCATTTTTAAGTGTTGCCTTCAGATTCCAGTCAGTGCCTTCTTACGCTTTTAAATGAAGAAAGGGTTAATCGATGAGTTGAGTTACCCATTTTTATTAAATACCTCAGTCATATCTCCTTGTTCTTCTCTTGCCGAATGAAATAGTCTCACTCTCTGTTACACGAGTCTGATTCCTGCCTCTAGGTTCCTTTTTGAATTTTTTCTTTACCTTTTTAAAATGCAGACAAAGAGAGACAGGGAATCAGGCTTGCTCCTTTATTCAAGGTGAGAAAGCATCAGATTTCTGCCATCCCATAGTATTTTTCCCCTCTTTTCTGTCTTTCTAACATCCTGCCTTGTGCCTTAAGCAGATATCTTGTTGAAATGTCATCAGCAATAGCCCTGTCTGAAAGCAGACACCCTTCCACTTACAACATAAATAGCTTTCCCTGTATTTGCACACTTCATATGCTTCCTATGGCTGTTCTAGCGAGTAATCTTACAAGTACATCTGTAAAGTTCAAACCAACCTTAGAAAATACAGAAATGAGAAGCCAGTCCAGAACTCTCACCAAGTGTTTGCACTGAAATCTGGTTGGACATTTCTGTTTTTGGCAGTATGAATTGCAGGTGATTTGTTTGCATATAGAAAGTTATTCGTAAGCTTGCAGACATATATATGCAGTGAATTCATCATGAACAATCTGCAGAGCAAAACTTATTCACTGGTGTTACTTTTGAACATGATTTCTTGGAGAAAATCATGAACTGCTGAGGCAACTCACTGAGAAGCTAAATCCACTACAAATTATTTGCTTAAACAAAGTGTTCTAACAAACCAGTTCAAGTGGCCTTAGATAAGAGTTTTTTGCTAGGAGCAATTGCATAGCAAATGTAGTGCTAAATTTACCACACGCAAGGATGACCCCTATGCTACAGCCCAAGAAGCCTTGTTATCTGTATGACAGCTGTGCTTATAGCTCCCACTCAAGGACTACAGCCCCATTAGGCTCATTCCAAAATGGGCAGGCTGTTTCTTTCTCCAAAAAGCATACTTTCTAGGCTTACAGCTGATGGCTGGGGCAGTGTTAAGAGCCAGTCTTATTAGATTATTAATGCTCTGTGATGAGGGATAGAAGGGTTTAATACAGAGACCCGTGCTCAATCTTGTTGCCTTCAGTGGATAGGAGGTCAGACACTGTTGGCACACAGGTATTTTAATGTATTGCAAGTGTTGCAAATGCCAGTGTGGATACAGAACTTATGCAAACAGACTGAGAGGAAGGAGGTAACAAAATGAGGTACAACTGGGACAAGTGGAAGGTAAACCATGTGGGAGTAAACTCAAAAATAAACACTGGGTGGAAGGGAGACCTTTGGAAAGCTGAATCGTGAAAGAGGGACAGAAGAAGAGAGGACAGTAAATAAGATGTGGATTTATGGTTTCATAAGACAGCCAGAAAAAGCCCTGTGCAATTTTAGGATAAGCAAATCAGTAGCTCAGAGGCACAATTTCATTTGACTGATGAGACCTCATCTGTACTAAACAATACAGAAATGGAGGTATAGCATACATCCCTGTATCATACCCATTTAATAAACAGGGAAAATAATGCAGAGAGAATTTAAAGATAAGTAGCCCGCTCAGTAACACAATCCATGCATCAGCCCCGACTCCACCATCTCCCAAGCACGTGGTATTCATTACTGCGCAGAGCAGCATGGAGAAGAGCCACTAAAATGAAGAGCTGGCTTGAGAGGTTCAGTTAAGGAAGAGAGATTAATAGAAACGCACCTAATAGACTTGCCCTCTGGGGCACATGCCTAAGTGTCCAAGAAATGCAAATAGCCAAGACGGAAGACGGGGTGGGCCAAAGGGATAACGGGGAGAAACTAGAGAAAGGAAAGTTTAGGTTGGAGAAAAGAAAGGGTGAGACCAGGGAACGTCCCAGTGCAAGCCAAGATATTTCAGACTAGACTGGCTCAAGCATTAGCTAATGCGGTCAGGAATAACCAAGTACTACCACTGAATTGAACTACCAAACCCAATTGCTCCTTCCCCATCTCAGGTTTCTAGACCTGCATGAATATTGCTTAGATCTTTCCCCCGGGTGGTTCAGAACCTCGTACTGTGCAAGGAGTAATACCTTCTGTTTGTCTGCACTGGACTTCACCTGCCACCACTGTATCCACTTACCAGGTTTGGCCCAGTCCTCCTGGGAAGTCTGACAGCACTGCCATGTTTGGCTTTGAATAATGTTGGGAAACAACTTTTTCTTGATCCTGCTTATATTTGAGAGCAGATATGCAAGGTTTAGTGTTGCGTACCTGCCTGCAAGCTATGCAGTATCATTCCATTCCATCAGGCCCCACCCCCCAAGCATTCATTCACACAATGGCTTGGAAATCATTTCTGAATTACGCTCTCTCAGCACACAGAAAGAGAAACCAACAGAAATGCCTGGGAAAGCCCAAGACAGTTTAGAGAAAGCAGAACCCAGCCTCGCTAAAGTCATTTTCATTTCAGGGGTCGCGCCAACCCTCACAGTGAAAAAGCAAGCCGGTTTTAAGAGTTCCCCACCGTTCTGCTTTCTTGCTGCTTAGCATATCCACTGTGCCCTACTCTGAACGTACTGTCCAGTCCAAACCGTCAGGGCCTATTGCAGAAGTGCTGAGGTGGTCAAGGGAGGGCTCTACAAACCTTCCCGCAGCGCAGGAATAACTGCAACACGTGTCACTCAGCAAATGAGGCCTAGTTGATTTGAGCATCCAGCTGCAAAGATCTCATTTGGCATCTGCCCCAGCAAATGCAGTTCCCCAAGCACTTCTCCGTTACATTTCAAGGTAAGGTAACACAATTTCGCTAGCCCATCCTGCTCCAAGACACAGCTGCGACTGGCCTGCAGACCCACAAGGCTGGCATAGAGCTGACATTCAGATTCTCGCCGCATGCGCTCAGGCCCACATGGCAGATCTGCTTGCTTTTGCTGGAAGCCTTTTGTCTTGAGCTTACGAATTTCCCTTCCCCTACTTTGCGCCTTGATTTTTTTTGTGTTAGTTTTCCCTAATATCTAGGACCTGTTGTTTAGAAAGTTATTGTAACATTTGTATCAATATTTTACCTTAAGAGAATATTTAACTAAGAAGATCTGCCTTAGTGTTTGGTCTGAAATCTGGATGGTGGCAAGGTAGTGCAGAGAACTTCTGAAAGCCATCCAGATTCACCCCAAAGTATCAAGCTCTGAATCTGCTGCTGGAGGAAAAGCAACAGTAGCCTTCACAGCTAGGGCAGAGTCCCTTTGAGAGCCTTCTCTGTCAGGGATGGACCCTGACTCCTGCGGGGCAAGTTCTGCCCTCAGGTTCACACCGCTTATCTGGTAGTGCTGGAGCCCCCAGGGTCTCTTGCTGAGGGCAGCATTTGCCACCGAGGCTGGGAGCACCCCAAGGAGAAGCAATGTGGAACTTCTCAGCCTGGCAGAAGGGAGACAGCATGGATGCAGCTCACTTCCTCTTCCATGCTGTATGTTAAGGACGTCCATTCCTACCTCCCTTCCTACAGTTCTAGCCGTTAAGGCCAACCACTTCCCCTCCTTAAAGCTGGACTATTTTTCTTAAAGAAACTTTCTAGCACTTTTATACACAGTGAATAACCTCTTTTTATTGGAGTATTTTTGGGGCTTTATATAAAACAAGGTTTTTAAATTGTAAAAAATATTAAGTGCCATTAGGAAATGTACAGCTCATCTCTTGTTAAATTAGCTTTTCCACTGTCTTACAGAACTAAGTCCAAATTGAAAGGTTTTTATAATGAAGTTGTTTATTAAAAGCATCTGATGAACCGTCTGTCCTGAGTTTCTCTTGTGGGGGGCGACATGCCTGCTCTATTAGGGCAGATCACAAAACCCAATTTTCCGTGTGGTGCTGGATGCACCTTTAATCGTGGCTCTTATGAACGTGAAAGGGCAACCCCCTTTCGCATGCATGTGTGTACTTGCACACCAAGCTCTGTTTTATTTTATGCCAATGAAGGGATAATAGCCCACAACCTTTTGGAGACTTACGATGTAAAGCCCTGATGGCTGGATTACAACAGTCACTGCTGGTTTAGAGACAGAAGCAACATCCTGGGTTACCAGAGCTATTTTCCTGACAGAAGCAAGCAACATTCCTATTTATTTTCAAGGAGGCACCCTAGCTCCTGCTCTTAAGGAGACCCAGCTGCTCAATACCAGATCAGCCACACTGCGGGACTTGCTTGCACTGCAACGCCAGAATCAGACTGGAGGAGACAAGAACATATTTTAAGTCGTGCAGTCACACTTCAATCTCAAACCACGCTGTGATGCCTGATGACATCAGCCACACGGTTATAGCACAGAAGCAACTTGTAATACCGCTAAAAGAATCCCTCTAATCAAAACGATCATAACACTCGGGTTTATTAGGATGGTTTGGTGGTGGTACGACGAATGGATAGAGAGAGGACCCTCCCTGGAGAGTACCTGCTGCAGGTTTTACATTAGGAATGGAGTTAGCAGAGGGAGGGGCATCTGTATTATTGCCCATAGTGGGAATCTCCTTCGGGAGTTTGGCAGTAGGTCACCAAGCTGATAAGTACCACCCTAGATGCCAATCGCCACAGAACAACGAGGTCCTGGTGCACTGCAAATGCTGAAGCTTCACCTTGCCCATGCCTTGGGCATCGCTCCCAGTTTACACAGATAGAACCAGAGGCTCTGGGCAGCTTCAGTACCCTGCACAATTCCATAAAGCACCTTGTCTCTTCAGAGATGAAAGCCATTTGCATTTCAAAGCACTAGCATCGGCTCTGCCCAGACACAAAACAGCAAGGACCGGGTGGAAAGAACCATGCGTTCTCTTCCAAATCTTCAGGATAGCCAGCTTCCACAGCCCAAACAGTCATTTTCTAGGATGAACGACATTGCTTTACCTAGAATGAAAGCAGCATTTGCCAGATGTGGGCGAGGGAAGCCCAGCAAGGCACTTCCCGTCCAGCATGCCAAGGCAGCCTGCACACTGCTAGGTTAGTTAGCAGCACTCTTCCATAGTCTCCCATTTTAAGCAACAACTGGGAAGTTTCAACACAACAAAAACATTTACTGCTTCAGCTCAACCCTTTAAAAAAATTCATCTTGGCTACCGGAGTTATAAGTGGGAATACTTAAAACCTCCCCAAAGCCTGGTTCCAGTGACTATTATTAATTAGTAGCCAAACTAATGATTAATTAGTAGTGGAACTTAAGGAAAGCCAGAAGTCAGAGCCACCTACTGACACACCACCAACCCACAGAACTGAATTCATCTCTGCATAAGGCGGGTACAAACTTCTTACCTTTGCAGGAAGGAAGGGACACATACCGTACAGCTCAGGCCAGTCTGCCTTCGTTACACAGGCAACAGCAAATCACTGCTCCAAACTAGGTCAGTCTGCAACAAGCCTGGGAAAGCTTGAATTGAACATTAGCTGCATGCTCTGAAACCAAAACTAGAAGGCCAGCTATTCCCTCCCCAGGAAGGAAGCATTACCTGAACAATGAGACAGCCCTCAGAGTCCAGGTGAAGCTGCTTTGACTTGGGCAGGCTCAGCCCATGTGAAGCATTACAGGATATTCTCACGTAACATTACCAACGTGATGCTGAATTCACCTCTCCCTACAAGGCACATTCATCTTCCCATTTTACAAGTGACACTGCTGACAGAGGACACTCGTACAACCTGCCTGGCGTCACTCATCCAGTCAGCGCGGCCAAAAACAGATCCCCAGCACCTTGACTTGTTCTCATCACAAAGCTCCCCCTCCCTCTTCCCCCACTATGATGAGCAAGCTGGACTGCAAGACACCCAGACTCCTCAGCCACATCTGCCAGAGTAAAGTTAGGAGGAAAATCCAAGCAGGTTACGTGTACTTCTGACTGCGACCGAGTGTCAAGAAGCATCGTGGGCTTTGCATAAGAGAAACTCAAAGGGCATGTATGGAAGAGACCACGAAAGGCTGTTCACACAGGGACCGGGAGACTACGG